GTGTTTGAATAGTTTCCAAACCAGATGCTGAGAACCCCGTTGTAAAGAGAACAAAAATCCCAAAAGCTGAGAAGAAGGAAGGAAGCGAGAAATATCAAAAGAATACTACCTCAAATGGAGTCATTGGTGSGTATTGTTATTAAGTAACGTATTGGATTATTTCATTTACCCGTGAAATATACTTTAGCGTACTTCGCTTTATTACTCTTTATTTTGCATGTTTTTTCTTTGTATTTTTGGCGTATCACACGTAATTGCACCTTGTTTCATGGGTTAATGAAAACAACTCTAGTTGTACATCGTAGATACAACGGTATTACGTCGTAGATGCATCGGTATTACGTATGGAAGTCGTCCTTCGTCGGATGATCATCGACGTCGAAACGACGAAAGTACTTTTCGCGGTGTAATATTTAGCATAATATCCTAACTATTCTTTAATAATTATATATTTGTAAGTAATTGTAGAAATAACAAAAGTGGTTATTYCCCAACAGAACAAATGCGAGAGGAGAAAAAAGAAGACGTTTTGCTTCTCTTTCAAAAACTCGGCTGCTACAAAGACGAAATGACGCGCCACGATATTCCAAATAAGGTTACCCTTAAGGCTGTCAGTCAAGAAGAYTGCGTCCGCGCGTGCGCACTTAAGGAGCAAGGGTACTCGTACTTTGGACTTCAAAACTCTGACCAGTGCTACTGCGGGCACAAGTACGGTAGATATGGAAAGTCAGACGATGCATTGTGTAATAAGAGGTGTAATGGAAACARTGATGAGAATTGTGGTGGGAACTCCACTAATATGGTGTACTTCTTTGGTCTTGGTAAGTTTGAATATTAACATTGGCTCTTTCTTTCTCTCCTGACATCAAAAAATAAATATTATTTTATTGTTGTCATACGTTATAAAGCAAACAGCAGTATGGCGCGTGTGTTTTTATAAGAAATTGAAAATCAATAGTCATTCATCATTCGGAATTCTTGTTATCTAAGTGCTATTCTATAATGCTGACTCATGTTTTCTCCATGTTAACAGCTCTTTTGCTGTCAATAGACCTCAAGGGTCCAGGTGCACCCGTGATCCTTAGCGYTCGATATTCTCGCATACAAAACTATCGCCATCTTTGATTTTGAACTAGTCAGAAAGCAASTTTCAACAAGGAATCTTTTATAATTTATAATTTATTAGCTTTGTCCCTAGTATGGGCAGGGACACCGAAACAGCGTGAGCCAATTACTGCGGACCCTGTACTCTCACACTCACTACCTCTACTTTTATAGAACATAGCAAACGATCGCAAAGATTCTCGGATCCAAGTGGCTCTTTAACGTGATATTGATGATTATTTGTTTSACAGGTACAAACTACACTGTCAACGTGTACACAGGAGATAAAGAAGATTCTGATTCCGATGCAAAAGTCTATATCACACTGTACGGAGATAAGGGAGACTCTGGGTTTAGGAAGCTTGGCACCAATGCATTCACTAAAAAACAGTAAGTTGATGAAGAGTTTAGAATGGATGAAGAGTTTTGACGCGGGAAAGATGGCATGAATGCCTAAAAACAAATAAATACCACGGACACTGATAAGAATGAATGTTGGACGGATAATTGGATGATATATGGCTGGTTCCCAGTCATTTTCTTCAGATAAAATAAATTCAAACTTTTKGCAGCCATGTTATTTGTATGAAGACTAGATTGGCCGATGACAAAACGAGCAGGGAACTGGGACTGATTTTTGTTTAAAGTGATGCATTCTGCAGAAATCTGTTATCGATAGATAAAGCACATATCGGCTTAGGCCAATACTGTTGRGGCATCTTCTGTTAAGTAACAACAACGTAGCTGCCATTACGTCACTGAAACCAGAGACCTTATCAGACCCTGGTAGCAACTCAACCTCTTTCCCAGATCCTTATGTAATCACGAAGTCAGTCCTCTTAGGCCCTCGCATTGCACTTCAATTGGGTTGCCCTCCCACCCCACCCCGATTACCCCAAATGAGTGTAACTCGAAAGAAATTAGAGGTCGGTTATAATAAGGATGAACAGCGCTATCCAGCAGAAAAGTCCGCATCGAGACGATAAAATCCATACAAAAATCAATGAATTGGATAAGCTCTTCTGGTGGAAAGCGTTATTTCGCCCTTCGTACAACCGATCCCGGTAATAATGAAAAGATGAATGGTTAAAACGAATAAATGGTTGCAAACCAATTTAGCTGAAACTGTTTTGTCCCTATAGAACTGTGAGCGAGACCATGCTATTACCAGAACTTGGAGATTTAAAGAAAGTACGAATTTTACACGATAATTCTGGTAAACACCCTAGTTGGTTCCTAAACAAGGTAGGTAATACAACAAAGTATTATGTATTTTGTATCAAAATTACGCAAAAGATAGTGTTTGAAGTCTTAAATTGGCAAATCACGTTAACAATTGGGTAAAAAGGTAAAGTTAACAGCGTAAAAAATTAGGTGAAACAACTTACTGATTTTTCGAAAGTTAAGCCTTCGTCGGAGTAAAAAGAAATCACGCTAAGTCCACTAAGTCAAGAAGCCTTGGCCAGATGTAAGAGAAGTCCCATACTCATGGGTTGAATAGGGGTTTGTTTGTGTTTTTCGGACTCACATAAGAYAGATTACAAACATGTAGTGTTTATTTAGTGAAAAGGTTGACGTCACGCGGAATTTCCAGTTTCCACTGCCTGTACTAATTTTCTCACTTTGCTCTCTAGGTAACAGTAACAGACGAGAATGGAAAAGTSTACAATTTCCCTTGCCATGAATGGCTCAGCGAGACACGCGGTGGCGGGAAAACAGAGCGACTTTTATTCGCCGACAACACCAATCAATCATAATGATTGACAGCTTTTATAGGTAACACAATAGCTAACTGACTAGGGTACTCTACCTTATAGAAATTAAGATAGGACAATGAATCTGACGTCAGAATGTCGTTATGGCAACTGTCAACTTTCTACACAACAATAGTTTTTTTTATTGGACAAGCAAGCGCAATACTTTGTTACAATAACAGAAACAATATCACTCAATCAAAACAATTTTATTGGATAAATTTAAACTGTACTGAATCACTCATTAAGCGGGTCAAAAAATGTGTTTAATATGTTAAATAGGACGTCATTTTGGTGAAGTAATTTTTGATGACGTCATCTTAGTGACGTAATAGAGCATTGAATGCATTTGCTTTTCACTTTTGGACGATATGATAAAGATGATATTTTATGTATGACGTCACTATGGTGCCTATGATGACGCCATCTCGGTGGAAATTGAGTCAAAGTGATGATGTCATGATGTGCAGTACGTCATGATTTTTATGATGAYGTCATTCTAATGAAATCTTGCATGGTTTCACTAGAAATGTTTCTTTTTTTTTGTGATTGTTTTTTAAGCTCTAGATATGTTTTTATGGTATGATTTAAACACTTAAAACCCGCCCTTGATGCTGGTGCATTCGGATTGTACATAATTAAAGTACTGTTGAATCGATTTCAAATCAGTTTTTGTAAATTTCTAATTTGGTCAATTTTGTGAATATGGTCCGCATATCTCATTATTATATAAATGCATTGCGATTTGCTTTTTGTAATAAAATGTTTATTCACCTTAAACATTGTTGTACTTATTAAAAAATATAAATTAAATGCTATCTGAATTATAGATCATTGACATGCTATATAATAACAAACTATGATATAAATGTAATGAAATATAAATATATAAAATACATAACTTACTATAAATACTATTAATAGCTAATCGTTCAAATTATAATAATAATCGATAAAGTTATTATTTAATTAACACTCAATCGATAAATTAATAAATGGTTTAAACAGTCAATTAGTCAATCAACTAATCAATCATGTAATCAATTCATTATCTAAATATAATTGAAGCAATATTGTTAATATAAAAATATAATCCAATGTAACAATAAATCGTTCATTTAACTAACAAGCATCGTGAAGATTGAGACACCATTTTGAACTGCAATGCACGATGGGTCGTGTAGTCGTCATAATCCTTTAATTAATCCTCCAAAGCTGTTTTTGTTCTCTTTTCCAGCAAGCGCAAAATGGTTTGCATGTTTGCGAAGATAACACGATAACAGTTCTAAATGCTTTGRTTAAAATATAACTTCTAAATCGTGTTCTTTATCTCAAACAGATTATCTATAACGCAAATTGCATCATGCATGCGCTACCATGACAACCAAGACAAGACGACACACAGTTACCATGACAACTGATCTAACCACGTGACCGACATTTGACCGACGCAGTGAAACAACTAGTGACCGATGCACAACCTCCATATGATTATATGATTATATATAGCGTGCAGACATTTAACCCGTGAAACAAAATCTAGTGCGGTTCTTGGTTTCTGCTGAGTTAACCTCAAGTGCTCGGAATGATAGATTTTATTGACTTTATGGTATTTTAAAGAACGTTGAGTACAGATCAATACTATGCTATAGCATAGGTTAAGTTTATTTCTCGTTAATGACGCTACAAATTGATATAGTCTTGAACTAAATTGGTTTTATCGTCATTATGAAAGAAAGAAATCATTAGAGGTCTTCGAGCTTTGGTGTGACGACCAGCAATGCTTTTCATTACTTAACGTTTCRCTGAAATAGTTCATA